AGTGGATAGTTTGTGGTTCTGTGTGTTAACTTAGCATGTTATAGGAACCAGGACACCAAACTATGAGCATCTGCTTGTGATACAAATGGTGCCACTGCCCAACATCTGCATCACTATATGCTTTGGCTTTCAATAAATACCTGCAATGGTGCCCGTGGGGTCATAGTTTCAGAGAGAAACAGAAGAGCAGAAGGACCACAGGCAAGCGAAAAAAGCCATGGGAGCAGGAGCAACTTCTGACTTCCTGCTGGTTTCCCCATTGAGTTTCACTGTGGGAATCTGGCAGGGAGCATCAGAAATCTTCCCTCCTCCTTTCGATTCCCTTCCTCTCTCCCTTCTTCCCTCCTTGTCCCCTTTCTTTCCTCCCTCCTTTTCTTCCCTCCCTTCTTGCCAAGATTGAGAACCTTGTTTTGTTAAATTAACACACTTAAGTAGACTTAGGCTGTTGGTTTGAGCTCTGAGCTTGACAATTCGGTTGCAAACGTTTTGTCACCATTTGAGGAGACATCGTCAGTGCATTTTGAACTGAATTGCACAATTTAAAGCGCACTGACAATGTCTCCTCGAACGGTGACGCAACCAAATTGCCAAGTTTGGAGCTCAAACCAACAACCTACCTGCCAATACGAGCTACTAATATTCACACACATTTCAATAAGTAGGCTTATTTGAGCATTATTCCAAAGTTATTAACTTTATCCTGGCTACTAATGAGATTTTTGAAGGTTAACATGTGCAAACCAAACCTGAACGATTCACTGTGCAAAAACAGAAAATGGCTAAACACAGTTGCTACTTTTTAAAAAAATGCATTGTGCAAAGGCAGCCAATTCGTCACTCTAACAGCCAAGCAAACCTTTCCCTAACACAACCTGAAAAAATAAAATTTAATAAATGAGGACTATTTGCACACCCAGGTCAGCTTTGTGGCATCCGTCTCTTCTATTGATTGGCTGTTATTTATGGCAATTTAACGACACAGCGTATTGTCGGCTTCTTCCACAACAAGGTTTCAGAGTCTATAATAGAAAGAGCAATCATCTCAGAAGGGATCTTGGAGGATTTAGCTGTGCCACAACAGTGTCACAAAGAGTTGTGGTGAATTCCATGGGCTGGGTTTGGTCTCCAGATGGCAGACACTCAGCAAAGGAAACCAATGAGGGGGAAGAGAAACGGAGCAGACTTTCTCCAAGTCCTTCACACCAGCGGTCTCCAACCTTGGTAACTTTATGACTTGTGGACTTCAACTCTGGGAGTTGAAGTCCACAAGTCATAAAGTTGCCAAGGTTGGAGACCCCTGGTGTGAAGGACTTGACAAACGCCTGTCAACGTTTGGCTGTCAGCTCTCTCCCATCCTCCCCATCCCTTACTTTGTGCCAAGCTTACCCTGCAGGCAAATAATGAACCATTCATTATAAGATGGCAAGAAACCCAGGGACTTCAAATAAGTAGCATTTATTGAAGAAAGGAAGGAGCCATTTTGAATGATGTTCATCTAAGATTCAAAACCAGGCCCCTTGCACAGAAAGCAGGCCCAAACTTTTGTGTTCCGCCTTTCTTCCTGCCTTAGAGAGGCAACTATTTGGCCCCCTCTCTTTGGAGAGGCTTGGCCGGACTCCACCTGCCATTTTCATAATTGTCAAATTTATTCTCATCTTGTTTTTTCTCACCAACACTAAATGGCCCTCAAGGGCCCCCAACATGAAGAAATATATTTGGGAGATGAACACTTGTAAGGTAGCCAAAGTAACCGAGATTCCCGCTTCTGCGTAAGAACTGGAGGGTTGCTTGTTCTCAAAAGGAAGGGCAACCGTGGTCATTCTGGTAGCAGCTTAAGAATATCTTTACTAAGATCCATGAAAATGGTTTAGGACTCATCAGAAAAGACGACATAAATAGTGGCAATTACGAGGGGGAAATAAGCAAATTCCCCAAATCTAAGCAAAATTTTCAAATGAATTTGGGAACACAATGCATTTCTCAGCAATAACCTGTCAAAAGGATTGCTCTGTGAAAATACAAAGAAACGAGACATGAATATTCAACCAATTCTCTCTGATCATTAGAACCAGTATGATCCTGCTTTGCAAGCACCCCTATTCCAAAGCAGGAGGATTCATAATTAGAGCTTGAGAGGCTAACACAGAGCCCGTTTGGAGCAGTCCGTAAAGACACCAAGGTGGAAACCAGGGGACTGGGAGTTCTAGTTGCATCTGAAGCACAAAGCCAGTTGGATGAAACTTTGGGCCAGTCACTGTCTCAGTCCTAAGGAGGAAGAAATGGCAAAGCACTTCTGAAAAACTTTACCAAGAAAAAGTGCATGGACTTTTCCATGCGATTGAAAGTGGTCAACACCAATGCAACGTATGTGTACACAAACACACAAACACACACACACACACACATATAGACAGGGTAGCATAAGAGAAGGCTGGCCCTCAAGTACCTGAATCTAAGATATAAAGATCCCTTTGATTTATATTACAGGTGACAAACTCATGGTGTCACATTGCTGTTATGTGAAGTATCTTGGTGTTTTTTTCACTTTATGGAGTTGGGGTGGGCGTGGCCTATGTGTGATGCATCTGGCCCGTGGGCCACCAGTTTGACACCCCTGATTTATATCATGAAGGACTGCTGCTGCTTCTGCCATCTTGACCATTTTGCTGTTGTATTCACATCATGTGTAGCGTCCAAAGACTTCATTGCAACAGCCCAAAGAGATGCAACATCATGCATGGGCCACTTAGTCAGGGCAGTGTCCTTGCTCAGGTGCAACTTTTTAACATCATATATTACCAAGTTCATTTAGGAAACAGAAAATGGGATGCTTTCATGTGCCTCCGCTTCAAATGCTTGAATTAAACCTAATAAAACACACCCTTTGATTCTCCCAAACCGGACACCCATCTCAACCATGATGTGACCGTTTCTGGTGAAGGTGGATCAGAAGAGAGCTGAAAAGGACAGGTGTGGAAACCCCGCCCAGAGACCACAGGGCAACCTGTGGAACTGAGGTCTGCTCCTAGCATTCACTTCCTTGAGGAAAGCTTCTTTTTTTTGTCTCTGTCAGCTCTAACACAGATTGGTATCTCAATTTCCATGATGTCTAAGTTGGCCATAAAATCTTCTGAAAGGCTCCAAACCAAAGAGATTTCCTCCAAAGTACCAGGGGGTAAAGTGAAAAATCCATTTTTTTAAAAAATGCTATTAAATTTAACAGTCTGCCAATCTCCGTAACAACTCTGGGTGAATGAATAGAAAAATAAATCCTAAAATACAGTTAAAAACTCAGATGTCTGGTAGAACAAATTCAGTTCAAAGAGATCCAACACAGAGAACTCATTCTAACCCAGGGGTGCCAAACACAAGGCCTGGGGGCCACATTCGGCTCGCAATGTGGTTGGATCCGGTCCACAGGGCCATGCTGGAAAATGTAAGGGGCCAGCCCGAATTGCTTCAGCCCAGTCTACCCAGTGTAAAGAAGAAAATACCAGCAGTTTGGGGAGTGGCATCAAGCTGGCCACGCCCTGCGGTCAGCCACACCGAGTGAGTACCATCAAGCTGGCCACACCCACCCAGTCAGTCACACACACACACACATACACACACACACACATGCCCCCCCAAGGTCAACCACAGCCCTGATGTACCCCTCAATTAAATTGAGTTTGACACTCCTGTTCTAACCCAACACCTGGGGCGGGGGGAGGGGCAACAAGGCCAGATTTTCAGGACTCTTGTAAATAACGTGGGGGAGAGGGAGGGCAAATGTATCTCAGGGAGGGGTGCTGTAAGAGAAAAGGCCTTAAGAGAAGAGCTGCAGGTTTAGCTTTGCAGTATCAAAGAAACACATTGCATGATTTCCTTCACAAGAAACACATCAAGCAGGAATATCACTCCCCCAAAACGAATGGGTGTGTGTTTGTGCACATCGATTCTTTGGTATAATATCCTTCCAATAATGAGGCCTCTGGCAAGGAGATGCATCTGGTAGGTGTTTCATCATCTGTGTATTCACACTCATATTTGGCACACCGGCACACTTTTTCTTTTGCTAGCTCAAGCTGGGAAGAACCTGTTAAAAATCATGCAGCCCTTTTGTCTCTTAAGAGCTATTAGGATCTTCCTTCCTTTCTTTTTTCCCTTCCCTTCCCTCCTTCCCCCCCCCCTCACTCACACACACACGTATGCATATTTTGCACTTCCTAAAACAAGTGCTTTATTCATATACGGATACATGCAGATGACATGGACGATAACATGGCCTGCTTGTGGTTTAAAATAATGTTGGCTATGGATTAGCACAATGCATGAAAGAGGCCAATCAAAACACATGATGTTCATAACCTAAGTTTTGTTTAACTGCTTAAAATACACTAGTCCGTTGCCATATGGCACACGACAAAGGGAAGAAGGCAACGCATGCGCTGGATAGGAAAGCTGCGTCAGTGTGACTGCAGACAGACTCGTCCTATGAAGTAAAGCCAAGTGGTCCAAGACAAGGTAGGTGCTCTTCCATTTCATTAGGAAAACTAACACTGTAGATTGGCGTAGAAATACATCAGCAGAACTAGCAATATCTGCTCCAGTTTTAAAAGAGATTGAAACAAACCTCCAGACTATTTTATGGCCACCATAAATATTTGTGTAATGTAACAGGAATAACCATGATATTCTCACCTATAAAAAGATGGTTTATGGAACACCACCAAACACTAATAACAGCTATTAGGGACTGTTTCTGTAAATTACATAAAACTCAGCCAAGAGAATTATGCGGCTTTTAAGACATACCTAAAAGCAATTGTCACCTAATAAAATGAAAGGAATTGATGGAATGCCTTTTCTGTATAACAGAGCAATACGCCAAGCACAACCTCAAAATAGTTCCTATAATTGTCATTAAATCAATGTCATTTGCCCTTATCTGCAGTATTTCCTGTTAACCTAGAAATGCTTTTCCATCGTTTTGCCATAAATGTCAAAAATGCACTTACCTCTCCAACTCATATTCTTTCATGCCGGGTTTTACAGCCTTCATTACCTATAGTCACAAAAGTAGATATAGTGTAAGAAATTTGGCCATTCTTCAGAGCTAGGACAGCTCTGCAGTAGCTAGAGTCCCTCTACCCTGGAATAATGGTTGCTACAAAGCCTGGAGTAAACAGGGCTATATATGAATAACGGTGAAGATATTTATCAGCTACGGTAAAAATTACAGTATTATCAGCAGCAGAAAAAAAATAAGAACTCTTGTTTGCATCTCAGGAGCAAAGTGATTAAGTTCCAGAGATCCCAACAGAGACCTGAATAAGAAGGAGCTTTCAAGACAGCTCATCCCTTGATCTTCTGAATCAACTGTTGGTACATCTTCAATGTCCAATTCAAAAATCTGAATCATAGGTCAAACAACAGATCAGGTAGATCTAAATCGACCAGGGCCATACTGCATCACGGAGACTGTATTAAAGAAGCCACTGCAAGAACAGGCAACTTGGAAGGAAGCCCTGCAATGTTAGTCCTGTTACTGGTTTTGCCATTGTGTGAAGAGGTCCTATGTTGGCCCAGGAGATAAGGAAACTAAACTGATTTGCACAGTACTTCGTTAGATCATCCTAATCGTGTGCCAGCCCCACCTCACAACATTTGCAATCTTCCCATCATATACAAATTAGAGTAGAGTAGAGCAGTGTTTCTCAACCTTGGCAACTTGAAGATGTCCGGACTTCAACTCCCAGAATTCCCCAGCCAGCGAATGCTGGCTGGGGAATTCTGGGAGTTGAAGTCCGGACATCT